AATAGATCTATTACTAATGTCAATATGTAGAATCAGAGGATCAAGCTCTCTTAGCAGGTGAAGCAAATGCTATAGTGTGAAAATCTATGGGAGGAAATGCATTCAATTAGGAATTCTAAGCACAGTGTTTGGCCTTAAATAATTTTACTTCTTTGAATTAGTTTGCAAAATTGTTTGCTGAAAATGTTGACAACAGCCAAATTGACATACAGCGACATTGCTGAAAATAAAATGTAAGATTGCCATAGTTGGATCAGAATAAACCTTTTGCAAGTTAAATTTGAGTGAAATCTGGCACACTGAGTTATCTGATTGCACATCAACATAACAATTTGAATTCCCCAGACGAAAGACACTGTTGCAAGCTTTTGCATAGTATCCACCATCTGTGTAATGACGTCTCCCATTGTGCCCTCCTTATCCCTTGAAAACAGTGTATTGGTAAAAAGCATCTCTTATGTAACTAAGCAAAAGCTTGCCCTGAATCATAAGGTATAGCAACGGTGTCTTTAGTATGGAAAATATAAATTATGCCCATGTGAATTTAAAGAGCTTATGTTTTGAAATTAAACTCGCAAAAGGCTTATTTAGAATTTTTTTAAAATAAAAAGGGAAGGTTTAAAATGGAAGATTATTTTCTCTCTGCTTGATCAAGCTTGTTTATGATTAAAAATAATATTTGATTAACTTATAACTGTAATTTTGTTTTTACAGGTGTTGGCAAGTCAAGTTTAGCTGCCACTCTGTCAATGGCCTTGGCAAAGTTGCATCCTAACAAGGTAACCTTAAGCAGTGATTTGTGATATTATGAATATAGATGTTCTTAGACACATAGATTGGACTGGAATTATGGCAGTGTTTAACATCGTTCATATGAAGTTCAGAGACAATTTGATTTTATTTTTTTAAATTTTAGGTTGGACTTGTGGACGTTGATGTTTGTGGACCGAGCTGTCCACAGTTAATGGCTGTTGAAAATCAAACAGTGGTCAACACCCAGTGGGGTTGGACACCACTCAAGTACGTGTTTATAAGAAAAATGTATTCTCAAAAAATTTGCTTTATTGAAACAGTTTGATTGGTCACTGCAAACTTGTATCGTACGTCTCCCTTTGTGACTTCTGAAAAGTACTGAATATATTGGCTCTTGCCCCTCCAACTGAATTATCTATGGAGTAGAAATCCAACAAAATATTGCAAATAAATTTGTGAAGGTCGTCATTTTTTAATGTAAAACAAATGTTCTGATGGTGTCATGATATAATCTCTCCAGGTCCCCGCTTGGACACATCAAGGTCATGTCTGTCGGTTCTTTACTTCAGCAAACAGACAGTGCTGTGGTGTGGAGAGGACCGCGTAAGACACAACTCATCAAGAGGTTTCTAAAAGACACATTCTGGGGCCGTTTGGACTGCCTTGTTTTTGGTCAGTCAAGATCTCTGTGGATTGTTTTAAAGAATTTCTCTGGTTGCAAAAGTAGTAAAAGTCTTGTTGAGAGACTGTTGAGGAAGTCACATTTCCTTAATCCTTAAACAGAACAGCAATCTGAGGTCAAAGAATAAATCGTTTGAATGAAATATGGCAGTGTGAGTGTCATCATGGCTGTTTAATTGGACGACCTCGTTTGAATATTATGCCTTAGCAACGATAAGTGTGTGCCTCCAGAGATTAAATAATGTTTTTTTTTCGGTTCAGTTTGCGAGGTGAATTTTAACATTTGCTTTTAACCACTCATGATCTTGATTAAACTTTAATATACTTTGTAGAAGCACACCCTTCATTCACTTTCATGAGTTTTGATGGCAGCAAGGAGTTATGCTATTTATAGCTTTGAAAGACCTTTTATATTTAATGAAAGCATGCTTTATACAGTGACATTAAACCTCTACAGAAAGAGTGGCCTGTTATGTGAAAATAATCCCATCATTATTTAGACACCCCGCCAGGAACGAGTGACGAGCACCTCACAGTGGTGAAGGTCCTGAAGAACGTGAACCCAGACGGTGCCCTCATTGTGACTACCTCCCAGCTGGTTGCCATAGCAACTGTCCGCAAAGAGATCACCTTCTGTCGCAAGATGGGACTGAAGATCCTTGGGGTTGTTGAGAACATGAGTGGATTTGTCTGCCCTTGCTGCCAGGTTGAAATAAAATCGAATCAAATGGTTTATCTTCATGCTTTTGTTTATGCGGCGTGCAAGTGATTTTTTCATACAAGTGCACACACCGATTGCATGCTTCCATTGGATGAGCACTCAAGTTGCATGTTACCTTCCAGTTCCCCAGTTCCATGGAGCTGTATGTGCCGTGAGCGTGGTTTAAATTGAAGTAACGTCACACTAGTTGCAACTGGATGTCCTTACTATCCGAATTCAGCATTGTTTCCTTTTTAAAATGATAAATTTTGAATTCTTCACTGGGTGATGGTATAATAGCTTAATTAAGCTTTATAAAATTTACACATTGGAATGTCATCATGGAAACTGTCGGTACAGCGTAATTTGAGAAAAAAGAGAGACAGAGCTTATTATTCAAATGTGAACAAGTGTAAGTTGGATCCATATCAAAACACATACATGTACCTTCTCTGATAGGTTCAGAGTTTGCTGTGACATTTAGAATCTTTGCTCTTTAATGTGTTTTACATGATTTAAATACCTTTGCTTGATTTTTGTTTGTTCTTAGGAGGAAACAAATTTGTTTCCTGTGGGTGGTGTTGAAGAGTTAGCTCAAGAATTCAACCTCAAGTATCTTGGCAAAATCCCCCTTGACCCTGTAAGTGCTTGAGGGAGACTGGTCTGAGATTTCATGTCATGACTACTTATTGGGTTATGTTGTGCTGCAGGAGCAATTGACAGCTAGGCCTATAGTATGGCACCAAGCCTGTGCCTCAAATCGAGCAAATAAGTAAATATTTATCTTCATGATGTAGACCTCGCACATGTTATATTGCAGACAGTCATCCATTCTTTATTGACTATGCACTGCTGTGAAAGGCATAGAAATGTACAGACCACCAGTTGTGTGCATCACAGTAAGGGGAAAAGGAACTGATTACGATTTGCATGATTGCTTTCAGTGTACTTAGTGCGTTACTTGATGTATTTGAATAAGCTTGTCAGAATACACACACTGCTTTGCTTGAAGGTTCTGCCACCTTTTCATGTGAAAGGTTGAAATAATGCATTGTTTGGGATCTACATGGACCAGATTAAGTACATAAATGATTTTTCCCCACCATCTTTTAAGTGATTCTATAGACTATATGACTAGAAATCTTTAACCCTGTGTAAATCCCCTATGCCAAGGGGTGAACTTGACCATAGTGTTTATTTTAGTCAGGTATTGTGTAACAAGTGTGTATGCAACTTTGGACCCTGTAGATCAAAGGTTACTGCCATTTAATAGTTAAAAAAACCAAATAGGTTTGCCACCTGAGTTCGAGAAGAACTGGATATATTGACTTTCAACTTGGTATGTGGGTTGGTGTTGGTGTCCTTGGGAAACCAATTGATTTTGGGTTTTACATGTTAATGCCCAGGGTCACTGTGGTAAAAAGAAATGGTCTCCCTCAATGGATGTTTTGAGATCACAAATGAAAGTCATGGGTTTAGGCATGGGCTTGGTGGGAGCATTTATGTTTGTCATAACACACTATATTTGTTACCTTTGGCACTAAATTGATTCAGTTGGCTCTAAAATGAAATTCTTCTATTGGAGTACCGGGGAACCTTTCTTCAGGGGTGTGAGAATTCAGCTTTTTTTGTTTAGACGCCGACTGTGAATTTCAGCTTTTTGGACGGTACAAAAGTACATGTATTGGAACTTTTAACATTTTAACTGGTTTCTTTCAAATTGACTTTACCCAAAGGCAGGCCTCATTTTGTCTGAATACTTCTGTGCACATTCCACTGTTACAGAGATTAACATCATGCTGTGAGGCAGGACAGAGCATCTTCGAAGAGTACCCTGACTCCCCGGCTACAAAGGCTTTGATTAAGCTGGCCGAAACACTGGAGACATGCCTAAAAAGGTGACACCTCTACCAAGGATTCAGTAGTGGATCAGGACAGAGATGAATTATTTAACAGGGTTTCAGCCAATAAATTTTGAACTTAAACCAAAGTTACAGTTGAATGCTTTTTTGGAGAGCTATTCCTCTAAATGAGTTCAAGATTTGGAAATTCAGGAGTGGTTCATGTCAAAGTTAAGTCTTTTAAGTCACTCGAGAAAAATAAGCAATTTATGCCCTTTAATCTCCAGCAAAAAGTCATTCAATTAAAAGGAGGAAAGAAGCTCATTGCAAGAAGGGATATTCCTGGGCCAGGATAAGATCTGTAATAAGTGCATTAGCTAGTAGGTCCAGCACATGTCATCACTGAAAGGCTAGGACCTGATTTCCTCAGCAAACAGCAATACATGTATGAAGTACAGAGGTTAGGATATGACTTGCCACATCAATTTTTATATGTCTTAGAAAATCAGGCTCTGCTTTGCTGTTGGCAAGAAAGCAAAGAGATTTACTTGGCAGATAGCCTACTGCATTTTTACAGGCCATTTGTGTGGTTTTTGTCATTTGTGTTCTGGCAAACCTATTAGGCATGCAGATATGTAACCAACTTGGCACTCTAAATGACCTTTCAAAATTCATTCAAAAGACTTGTTGGAAATTCTTGAATGCTGATTTTATAATAATGTTGAAAAACAGTTTAGACTCAATTCTGAGTAATCCCTTGGTAAAAGAAAGTACATGTACACATATAGGAAGGAAACTTCGGCAGTCTTACCATTGTATTACTTACAGTATGCAGTCTTGAACAGAGACTATTCACAAGAAGAGTTACCGGTAGTCTCACTATGAAATACATAGGCGAAACCTTCCCCATAAAATAATTGTGAAGACTTTATTAAATTTATATCGCCATGTATAATGTATACATCAGATTTTGCAAATATTTAGATGACCATGTAAGAGGCACAATGTAGTCCATCACTAACAGCATAAAAGTTTATATATCAATGCTACATTGTATACATTTACGTGTATCTACACATTACTGAGGATCTAAGCATTGCTTACTGTAATAAACACTGGCCAGAAGTCTTATAACATTTATTTTACAAACAGAAAATAAATTTTATATGCTTTTGAAAAGCAGAAACAGCTAGACTATAATTGTGTTTCACACATTTGTGACCGAGTCTGAGTAGACCCCAAAAGCAGCCAGACAACTGACAACCTAATTACTCCACATCTATAGTTTCTAGAGTTTACATCTCTGTTATTTCAATGCAACATTTCAATTTGAGTACAGATCAGTTGCACTGCTTCACACGCTGGATTATCTACAGAGACAGTTGTTAACCAAGAGTGCTTTTACTTAACTTCAGATTACATTTGATTTGATTAAATACAATGTATACTTTTTGTATAGACATTGCAGTATTAAATTGACAGTTTCTCATTTTATGACTTTGTATATAGTTTTATATTTGTATAATTCTACCTCTTGGTCTTGACTGTGCAAAAAGTTAAAGCATATTCCTGGGAAAAACTTATTCAATAACTGAAATTTCTGCCATCCTGAGGTACAATTTTCACTCAGTCTTGATAGTGATAAACTATTAATATAAAAATTAAGACACAAACATCTAAACAAACTGAGGTATATCTACATTTAAAGACACATGCTCCAAACAGCTTGATGCAAGAGTAATGCAAGATGCTAAACTACAACAGCATTTTCAGGATGAAGAAATCAAGCTCCACACTAGACCTTTCCATGAATTCTGAGTAATATATTACCCTAAAACTAAGGCCACAATGTGGATTGTAGGAACGCTGCAGCTGTACATTAAGGTAGAATACAAATGGATGCACAACCTGTTGATTGGGTTTAAGCTGGCCACGCTTATTAAATCAGAATTTGTGATCCAAGAGTTAATTAAGGTTATTCTATGTGTATAATTTCCAGGACAGACTTGACCACTTCGTGCAAGGGTGCCTGGGTGCCCGGAACTGGTGATGTTGGGCTTTGTACGCAAAGGAGTTTGGCCTTGTAACAAAAGATAGTAGTTGGAACAAAAGACAGGGCTGCTGGTAATTGCCAACATTTCTTCAGTTGTCAATAGTGGAAGAAATCCATCATTGTTTTGAAAGATTATACCACTGTTTGTGGCATGCAGCACGAGCAGATTACCACCGGGGACAAAAGCGCTCCAGAGATGAGCGATACAATACCGCTGCACGCTAATCTGTTCCGCATTTGAAAAGATGCCAGCAGCGCACTGGGCCAGTTTCGGGATCAAAAGAAAATTATGTAACTACGCACAATCTGGGCTCTCTTTACAAGGTGGCAGGCCTGGCTGAAATACTTGGGCATCAATAGATGTCTGTCACATTATACTAGCCACCAGACAGTCGTTCGTGTGGGTGTAAACATTCAGTAAATTAAGTTATGAATTTTTGAAGAATCTTGAAAACAGAAAATTTGGAAATCCCCTGGGAATACGTCATGCAACTTCAAATTAGACCCAGTAGCATATGGTTAAGTACATATGAGACAAATACAAGGAGTATATGCCCTTTTGTCCTTGACTGGGATAGAGGGAGATTCTGTAGCTAGAATAAAAGAATCAAGGTGTTGTGCATGAAAGCATGGTTAAAGTGTCCCTACAAAATTTTTGGTCCTCGCAGTAAATGTCGGAATATACATGTGTCTGTAAACTCAGGGCTAGTTTGATCAAGGACCAGTAAGCTTGTGGTTGGTCTGTGATGCACTTGGCACATGGGCAATGAAGTGCAAATGACTCTAGTCAACTGTTTGTCATTTAGGCCTATAGGGAGAAAATGTACCCATAGGGAGGGCAAAATAATAAAGAACAGTGCAAATGATCGTTTACTAGCGACATACTGTTCGTCTAGTCGTCTTTGCACTGTGCTATTAACAACTATGGCAACCAACGGTGGGATTGACCTTGGTAAGCTAGTCAGGAATAGATGACTAGTCCAACCATTGTTGACTAGTGGTTGTTCAATCAGAGTTAGTTGAACCATGGAGGAAGGAAAAGGAAGCAGTTGCAACTCTGGCACTTCAAAGTGTTCAATGATTGTTGCTGCTGAGTCAGATGAATAAAAGAAAACATTCCAAAAATACCCACTTACTGCCCCGCATCTTAGCCGGACAAGTGGGGCCAGTAATATCCTAGCAATACTTGTAATTAAATATTATTAAATATCATTAGCCCTACTTTCACCATCGTGAAAAAAATGTTGATCCACTGTTCCATTATCCATGCAGAGTTTGTAACTTTATTCTCCTCCCTCAATACATTGGTGTTCAAAGACTTGGTATGAATTTGGCTAAGACTGGCCAACAAAATGTTGGCCACTACTGGAAAGCTAAGTACATAAGGAACAAAATGTGCCATTTCATCTGGGGAGTGATCATGGAATCTCGTAAAATACACTTTTGTTCAAATGCCATAATAACAATGATTCAAACTAAACACAAAATCTTGTAAACAATGGGGCTATTTATTCCCACAATAACTCCAGAAGAGAGAGCTCATTAACCCCAACACTCCTCAGTCCTCCAACAGGTGAAGGATTGAGGAGGGTTAGGATTAAGGGTAATGACTGCGCATGTTCATTTAGGGCACACAGCGTAATACAAGCAACTGCACAAGCATTAAATTTGATGATAAGAGATCATACCAATCACTAACAAAGACACGAATATTCAATTTCCTATAACTCAGTGCGCAAAGTTTTTAAGGATGCAGATTACCATCAACAAATTGCGGCGGCGATCATAGGGTACAAATGGGTTTCATGGATATGAAACAGATGGTGCGTGGTAAGCATTCGCAGTGCTCTTGATATGGACATACATGCACTGGGCATGCCAGAAAGCGGTACTTGGCCAGATGTTATAGCCTGGGCAGTTCAAACTCCTGTGTCCTTCGATGGTTGAACTATGGTTAACTATGGTCCTTGATTGCATTTGCCCTCAAGTAAGTGTTGAAAGTTTTCCACGATAGAAAGCTATGTACAGAACCGAAGGGGGTTACTCAGCTTGCACAACGGGTTAAGATAGAAGAGATCCATGTTGAAGTTGTGTACAAACTTGTTTATTGATGTGTGGAATGGATTTTTTTATCCTTGGGGTAACTTTTTTCTTGCATCATGTTAACACCTGTGCTTAAATATTTACATTTTTTTTCCATTTTCTCAAGATACAAAATATATGTGGCTGTTCAGAATAAAATCCAGTTATTTAACAAAAACATCTAGCTGGTAACTCCAAAAATATGCACTCTGAATATATTAACCAATAGCCAAAGCACCAAACTATAGAGATCTGCATGGATAATCTGTAACACATGAACGAATATCATCGATCACTGCCATGTCTTCATTTACAATAATACAGATAAATTGATAATTCAGGCACAAAACTGTCACTGAGCCTCATCCAAACTCCGGTGGCCAAGAAATGACTACATTTCTGCTTTTAGTGCACATGCGTGTTAACTATGCAGTTATTCAATTTGGTTAGGCTGCACTCCTTTAGGATGGAGACAAGTGAATGGCATGTGATGCTGTTATGCTCAGTCTTTGCTTTGTGTACAGATTGTGATGTACTGTATAATGCTAACCTATGTACTGATGTGTAGACATGTGCCTGTTTTTTTTACTTTACAATGAAAGAAAGATGGGGGAACAAAAGATTTTATTTATCTTCAGTAGTCAGTCCATCCTATTCTACAGATAGGAAACAAACTGCCTTGTCTTCGGTGATAGAGCAAAACATGACTTAGTGAACAAAGCCTCAAAGTGAGCTGCTTACCTACTAATTCAAGCCACTATACCTCTAGGCATCTGACTCATCAGCTAGTTTCAAGCTATCGACTCTTCCTCTTAAACCATGCCCAAGATTCAAACCTTCCAGTCCACTTGCAATGGGACCCTGGAGAGAGCAGGCTGAGCCACCATAGGTGCTGTTGTTCCCATTGGAGTTGTAAGCTGGCCCTGTTGGTTGTTGGTTACTGTGCTGATCCACTGAAGGCATTGTGTAGACCGGTATGAACCCAGCAGGTTGACTGGGATGTGTTGGAGGCTGGTTCTGTTGTAACTGTGGTAGACTGTGGGCTTGGCTGGGTTGTAACTGGGTTTGGTCAAGCTGCAACTGGGTTTGACCAGGCTGCAATACCTGTTGGTCTGGTTGTGGTGATAGTATTTGGCCCTGGTGCCTGCTGTGGAACGGTGGTTGATTGTACCGATTAACTGGTGGGTTACTTGGTGCTTCTAACACTAAGTTTGATGAGTCTCCCTAGAAAAACCAAACCAGAGCAAAAAGAAATAAACATATTACCTCTAGAATATAGTAACAGTTTTTACTAACTTTGAATAACATTCAAGCCCTGTATTGGCTGTGTCATGGAATGTCTAGCATACATTTTGGATCGTTGTAGGCATTTAGCATGAGAATGGAGCATAGCCACAATATATAGGTCATATATTGCAATACAAGCTGGGGAAAGACAGTTTGAAACACAACTTGATTTATCACTTTTCTCCTGTTGTAGCACGGAGTTCAGATTTTTTTTCAGATTTGTACTGAAAAAATGACTGAAATCAATCCAATGACACTTATGACAGTATCACAGAAACATTAGTGGGGGGAATATGGTGTTTAGGGTTCATGATTTGTGATACAAAGATCAGAGGTTTGAATCATACTGCTGGCCAAAATGTGTGTTCTTGGGTAAGCCACTTTACCCCATTTGCTTCTTGAACCATAAATGGGTACCAGAATAGTGTGGGAGTAATCCGCAACCGAATGACAACACATTTTGGGGGAACAGAAATTTTCTCAGTCATTCCGTGCTACTATAAAACCATGGGCCATATTGGCTTAGGACAAACTTCTGTTACTCGATGGAAACATTACAAATTTGATATACACTTCTCAAGATGATCAAGAACCATTAGTATGGTCTCCCATCGCCAGACATACCTTGTCTTGTGTCTGACCTTGTGCAAGGGCTGTGGTGCGTTGCTGGAGCAAAGCCTGAAATGCAATGTCAGCAGCCAGACTGATGGCCTGGCATATTTCCTCAGCTGCCACATCGGCCTCAAAGACATGACATATGAACTGTGGCTGGTGCCTGGCCCCATGCCGACGTGTGATAAATGCAAATAACCTGTGGGAAGGACGAGAATCATCCACACTTTGAACCTTCAAATTCTGACTACATTTTGTTTGCATAAAGAAAATGGTCTGATATTGGTTAGAGCAAACAACCTTTAGAAGAGCCTGCCAGTGCTCACTGAGCTATGTATATCAACGCTACAAACTCTACAGTTTCTATATTGGTAATTACTTTTTCTCATGTGTTTTGGCAATTTTAATTGAAGCTATGCACATAATGCGTTTACGTTCAGTGTGAATATTACGTACACGGATGATCTACCATCTCCAGTCAGCTTCCTTTCCATTGTAGTGCAGGAGTGAATGCTTAAACCTTTAAAAAATACACTGTACATCGAAATCCTCCCCAAACAAGTTGAAAGTCAAGTACCCAAGTAACCACAATGACAAACAGCAATTTGCAACATTTGAAACAGTTGGACCAAGGGGGCACCCAATTACAATATCTAAAGATATTCTGATATACAAATAATTGGACACCAAAGGAATGAGGTTGCAATACCTTTTGTTTTCCTGGTGTGCAGCCCAGAATGACACATCAGTCAGGTCATGGTGAGCCTTGACTACTTGCTTAGATGAATCCAGTAGTCTGCAGTTGAAAAAAAAACAAACTGGAACACATCACAAACTCTAAGAAATTGTTTAGGGTTTGCGGTATTTTCTGAGAATCCTATTGTTGTTTTTGTTCTTGATGTCATTCAATTTAATTAATCCAGTGTGTCTAATTGGTGACATCCAATGTTGACCTCACCTTATAGACTGGCTGGTCACAATAAGGTGCAGCTCTGTCATCTTAAAGATGTTATGGATTGCCCTGGCAGCCATGATCTTGCGTATGGTATCCATGATGATGTCTAATCCTTTGTCTCGTCTGACCTCCATGGATCCCAAGAACCTCAGGAGATATGTCTGTATGTAGCCAACCGGATCAGTGGCTCCTAAAACTGCACAGGATAGACACATGCAACACCAAATGAAGTATACCTATGTACAAACTGTTCTTGTTTGATTGTCAAATATGCACTCCACTAAATAATACAAAGATTTATAAAGAAAACTGAAAGACTAATGCATAAGATGATGGTAAAGCAAGGGTTTACATTGCCATCAACAAAATTAGGGTAAGTGAAAGGAAACAAATTAAAATGATGGTCAAGTTGTCGCATACATATATCTGATATCAAGATGATGCATGTGCATTTGATATAATTCTGTGTGTTTCTAGTGTGCAGGTACAAGAATTATCATGTGGATTAGGCTTTTTAGTCATTATCAGACTCTTTCTTTTACCCAGAAATTTCTCTGGGTTTCCCTCCCACCTCTAATACCACAACTGTTTTCACTGTCTCCCCTATGTAGGCTAGCATGCTGGAGTGCCAAGAGCCTGGGCTTCAGAGGAATCCTTGATTTCTTTCCAATACCAGAAAAAGGAAAAAAAAAGTGTCAATGGATTCTGTTTCATCTACCTTGAATGGGCCTGGATTCCAAAGGCTTATCATCAAATGGGTTCACTCTCCTCTGAGATCCCTCTTTTGTGGGTGGAGCATATCTAGGCATCGCTGGAGGTTGCTCTTCACTTGGTGTGATCATATCAAACTGGATTGGTGTAGTGGACAGCACAGAATCAAGGGGAGAGGGTGGTGGGGTGGCAGGGATGTCCTGGCTGCTGGAACGGCTAATATCACTTGACAGGGACTTCTCCTTTCCACTGCGTTCAATAGCAATAGAATAATAGTAATATTACATGACTTCTGACAACTTTTAAGGAGCCTCTAAGTGCACAAATTGCTTAGCACTGAAACTATTTTGAAACTATTTTTTTCTTATTTTCATATCTGACAAACTTTTCTACTGACTGGTTTCATGTAATTGGTCCCAGCTTTCAAAAAAAAAAGGGGGTAGATTTGGGATCTGATACTTGACCCTCTGTATTACCTGATCATAAGATATGAATTTCTTGATACAAAACTGTATTTCTGTTCCAAAAATAGTAAACTATTAAAGATTTTAATGTCAATATAGAATTAGCCCCTCTAATTGTAAAATTGAAACCCTCTGACCTCATAGTACATGTGTAGAAGCAATGCTTTTAATGACACTGAATTCCTACTGTTTGCTATGCATGTTGCTGATACCATCTATTCTGTACCATGACTGATCTGTCTCTTGGCTTTTCATGGCCCCCATGTACATCCAAACAAAATTTGACTCTGTATCATTGGTCAGGTGGAGATTAAGTACCTGCCACTTTCAGACACTATATCCAAGTGAGATACTGAGACTGTGTGCAGGCTGTGATTACCTATGCTTATAACTGTCTGCTCGTTGTTTCTGGGGCACATTGGACAGAGACATAGGCTGCTTGGGGCGGGTCCCACCGGTGGGTGTGGTAATGGTGCCTTCACCACCACTTCCTCCTTGGGTTGATGGGACGGGGACTGCCCAAGCTGTGGGTGGGGCACTGAAGGCTCGGGATCGTGCATCTCCAACAGCTTGAGTCTGAGGGATGTTACTCTGAACAATAAATCACACACACATATTACATGCCACAGACTGAGACTACCAATGTAGAGCAGTTCAATTGACAAGATAGACTGGAAAACTATGAAGGGAAGCAACATCCTTCAATATGTGGAAACTGATTGTTGCTATGTTGCAGGTTCTACCTTCTGTCTGGTGATAGCCTTGAAGTATGTATCCATGCAAAATGCAATGCTTTTTATGACGAAGTGCATGTAGATATGTGTCTTTAAATGGTTGACGATATCCTAGGTCATAAGAAATGTGTTATACATGTACTAGTATGTAGAATCTTTTCTGCTCAGAATTCAGCTCAAAGTGTAGATAATCTCTGCAGGTTTATCATCAACCACTCAATTATAAATGAAATAGGGTATTAGTATAGGAAGTAATCTACAATTAGTAATGGGATGTTCTAAGAGCTGTAAGTTTGAGATTTGGCTCTACATACCTGAGGTGGTTTCTCTGGCATGTAGAATCCACTGGAGATGTTACGTATGGTAGCAATCCACTCTTCTCTGTCAGATCCACTCATACATTGAAGGCTAACCAACCTGGCATAGGTCAACACCAGTCACACAATGTCAAGGTTCAGTTTCATGGTTCCGGTAAGCACTTCATATTCTGGTACTGGATCTTACATTCATTTCAAGATCCGAAGCAATAAACACGTAAAGCTTATTCTACAACAAGTTTGGCTTAAATGCAATGAAGTAATATTTGACAATTCCAGCAAATTACTTGCAAACATGCAAACCAAATCACCTAGACCAATATTGTGGTAAAGATGAGGGACTAGTAAAAATCAACAAAAATGCTGACTTTCTTATCATTTAAATAGTACATAGATTGTCACTACTTGCTCGTAAATCATGGCATCTATCGAGCTTAATATCCAAGATTTGTTCTCAACTGCACATGGAATCAAAGAAAATTTGAGAAAATGAAAATTTGAAGGGGCAATCCTGATGTTTGTTTTGAAGAAATTATGGCCTGTATATGCAAATTGGCACACTTACAGTTTTTTTTTCTAATTTTTGAGAAATAATCTGCTTGTTACTTATTCTTAACAATGACATAGTATGAAGGCCTAAACAAGGTAACTTAAACAAGTTGCATGGCTTCAGTTATGTCCATTTGCAAGGTAAAAATGGTTGTTTTCATAGAATATGGAACAGAATCAAAGTTGCAAGGCTTGCTAGCTAATGCAAAGGTCAAAGTGCAACCAGTTTTCTTTTTATTCTCTACTTGTATGGCACAAACCAAAACCATTCATACTCACTTTTTGGCATCCTCAGGCCTAGTAATCTGAAAAGCGAATCGGCGATCATCAATTTCCGCTGCATTGACTGTGCAACCATCCAAGTCTATAACTAAACTTCCAGCAATCTATAAATGAGTGAAAGGCTATTCAACTTTAATGCTCTGTACAGGTATTTTCCTGTATTGTATATGTACATCAAGTACATGTTTTTCCTAAGAATCACATCTATGAGAAATTTGTGAAGCAGTTAAAGTTTACAGAAGGTAGAAAAATCCAGACACCTAATCCAAGGAATAATCCACACAAAAGCTGCTGCACTTTTTATTCACAAATAAATCAAACATTTGCTACCAGTAAAAAATATCAGGTCTCTCAAGCAATTCAACAATCCAGTACTCCCTTCCAGAGTTGATTTCCTGTTCCAAACTTCCCACACAAATCTTGTTGGCACTAGGCTTCAATCTACGCTATTATTGTGGCTACATAGCTCATCACAAATAGCCAGTCAGAAATCGTAACCATAATTACAAAAAATCAAATTGACAAGTACATCAGCTATGGACAAACCTTTCACCATGCCAGAGGGCTTTTCCAAATGTCAATAGGATGCATCTCATTACCTATACTTCCTACATATCCTTCAGGCTGCAAACACTGAAAATGATCTCATGTCAGTTCATCATTTATTTGCATCCTACTTTGAACTTCCCCTTTCTTCATATTTAAATGGGGGTAACGGAAACAACAAAATTGAATATTGCTGGATACACACATGCTAGAAATCATCCACTCTTCACAATTATCATCTCCAACTCGTACTGTCTGAGGTTGTATTGGCAAGAGTGATTTGTTGGTGAATGACACACTTCACCTACAGTTTTAAAAGGCAATAATTGACATCACCATCGGTTCTTCTCAGAACCACACACTCATAAAAGAGACATTTTCTTGTACACGGTGCAACCGCAAGCCTTACCTAATTTAGTACTTCCACCATGCATAGGTTCAAGTCTTATTTGGCAACCATTTACATGATTAATGTATGCTGTTAATATTGGGCTTGGGTGTTCAAGAGTAATTCCAGTAGATTAGATAGAAATACTCAAGTTTTGTCAGAGAGAGAGAGGACAGATGGAATGTGATTCATAGCAAAATCACCACCAAAGCTCAGAATTACTGTCAGGATTAAGCTGTGTTCAGGAGGTCACAAATCAAATATTGACAAAAGTGTTAAAGAGGCACAGCATTCAATCTCTGCCTTAATTTTGGTTTTGATAATCTGGACAGGAAGGCCTGGAAGGTCAAAGGAAAGTAACAGAAGTACTCCGGTGAAAAATCAGACACGAAAACAAAACAACTCAACTGGATTTTCACGGTGGCCAACAAAAATTAAGACAACTGCATACATGTATCTGAGCCTTTCAGACTTCAATATAATTTGAAGAGAAATGGATATATGATTACAATGTATTTATCCTTGTTCGGCCAGGTCTTCTGAACAGCTTCAGTGACAAGTACATGTACTAAAACACTCATTTGTAGAGGTCTGTGGCATTCAATGTTGACATTTCCAGTTTTGTACAGTAATAGTGTTATGATGTTGATATACAGATAGGGCAAATCTCTCTTTCATACCTGTCCCTTGGCATGACTCATCAGGTTTCCGCCTTGGGTGAAGAAATATTGTCTCTCCCATCGGTGAGTCAAACCCGATTTGCTGTCAAATAAATATCAGAGTTTGTTGACTGGTACTGAAAACATGACTCCCATAAGACTTCTGGGGCAAAGGGAAAGCTAGGTTAATGGCAATGTTGATCCACCCCTTATAAATAAACCAAATAACCATGGCCAAGGATGTACAGTCATGACAGTGAAGAGTACGCCAGTGCACACTGCATCAATGTCACCTGTTTTGGTAATATTCCATGCGTATAATTTTCCAGGGCCCTCAAGAAGATGTGAATGTAAGAAACTGACCTCATGTAACAACTGAAGATATTCACTAATTTAAATGGAAATTATTCCAAATAGGTATTTTTCCAGCTTCTATGTCATTTATATTTTCTATTAATAATTATAATAAATTCAAAACATCCTTTTAAAATTTCATGTTTAATCATCATTTGATAAAAACTCTTGACAGATTCTGACAATGTTAAACTTTCATTTAGGAATGCTTACAATATATTTCACGAATTAGCCAGAACCAGTTGCAGAAAGAGCGAACTGGACAAAAGAGGAACTCTCCATAAAACAGAACTTGATAAACACGCTAATAATAGAAGAAATTTTGTTGAAAATTAGCAAAGACAATGTTTACATCTCATCTCAGTTGAGTATATCATAAGAATCAGTACAAGAAATATGATTCTTAACTATTTAATTTGGCTTCCACAACAAAGGAGACATTGCAATGTAGTTCGCTTAGAATCTAAATTATTTCAGTTATTTTTTTTATTTTTTTCAGCTATTTTTTTACTGTTATTAAAAAACAAAACTCAATTTTTAAATAAGTTTCATTCCCTGATAGTTCCACTATTTTACTACCCACTTTTCAATTGTGATGCCCCTAAATTTCCAAACTACTTGTTAGTTTTGACTCCACTGATTAGAAAAATAAATGTTTCATGAGAAATATACATGTACCTTCTAATCATGAGATATCCAGCTATCTGACTGAATCCGGTATTGACAGGTCTAGGCTGCATCTGCATGTCTGGTGTGGGTTCAGGCATGTAGTAATAGGTTGAATTCTCTGTAATCTCAAGTATCTTATCACTGGATCGCTGGGAAAGCTGACCCAACTCTGAGTGGACACTTGGCAGAAATAAACACAAGAAGGCTTATGGAGTTTAGGTGTTGTACATGTAGGTTCATTGAATGATGGTCATGTGGTCAATTCAAAAGAACCTGGCATGAATTACTGGTAAAGGTTAATATTTGCACTAGCTCTGCACATTTGGTAAGATATACATGTACATGTATGAACAACCAAATTTTCATCCTAATGTGCACAAAGTCTTCACAAAGGAACAAACCAAAGGACAATACTTGTTAGAATACTGCAAATAAAACATAGTACATGTACATGTAACAACCCACAATAACCCAGCCCATGCTATGAATGTATGTAGAGTTTGTACAAGAATTTCTTCTTTTATATACATGTACATGTACACAAAAAATACAGAAGCTGAAGGCAGAGTTCATACATGTACATCTCACAGAGAATTTTTCCAGGACACTCCAGGTGTTTTCAACCCGTAATTTCCAAGACTTTCATGCCACATTCGGTCCCATTATAATTATGGACTTGACTTACATGCATAGAACTGCACACTCTGCATCGGGCAGTGTGACGATTGGGCCTGCGTACAAGCCATTTTTTCAATGAATCCTACTTGAGCCAACTCTCCTTGAAAGAACATTTTCCTTTCTCCAGCATTGTTCCATTAGAAAAAACAGATGGCTTCAATTGCAGAGATGCCAACTTTTCAAAATGTCATCCTGCGTAATCCTATATAATCCGATGTGCAGTACTAGTGCACAAACATACAATCACGTTGCCCATGGGTCGAGCAGTTGGTTCAACCTTGCTGGTTTTCCAATGCTGCTGACTCACTAGCAACAGTATGCACAAACTGTGGTGCAGAATACCAGGGACACTTTTGGGGGCATGCGCAGTATAATTCTATAAAGCTGCATGAGTGCTGGTACATGTAGTTTCTCCCCATTTCATAACATTAAACAGGACAAGCTGGCAATTCAACCTCGCTGGTTTCTAAAACTACTACTGACGTGCAGATGATGGCTTTTTGAACTTGGGATACATGGCAACCTGGGTGTGACAATTGTAAATAATTGACTGACAGATTAAAGATAAAACAAGAGTACCTTTATTAAATTCAGGGACATTCCAGGATTTTTACAAAACATTTTGAAAATTTCAGGACACTCAAGGATTTTCAAGGATCAACATTTTTCAAGTATATTCAAGGAATTCCAGGTGCCGTGTGAACCCTGTGAAGGTCAGTGTCAACTGCAATCATAAACTGTACACATCAATCTACTTCCATTGGCTAATTCAGTTTCATTTGATGTGCATGACTGAATGTAAATCAAAAATGGTACAGTTCTGACAACATAACCAAAATGGGCAAGGGTAAAAAAGGCTTCCAAACTGCCACTTCAAAAAACAAATAATACAAGGAATACCTTTATCTTTGCTGCACATCCAACAAGCTTTAGAGTGAAAAGTCTTTTTAGGGGAAAGTCTGGATATGAAGTTATTGTACCCAAACAAAAAGTGGTTTCTGCATCGAATACGAATGACTCATTTCAATCGTCATTCTGACTTCTAAGTGTAAACCTAAAACTCTATGCACGGTCCAAATGGTACAATCTGAACTACTTTTGTGTTACAACTGCTTTTGACAACAAATAAGGAATAGAATCACTTTTTTTGTAACCTCAAAGGCACAATCGCCATATCAATATTGCATGCATAGTCAAAATGCATTAAGTTAACAAAATAATATCAACTTAAATTATTCTATCGTTGAGCAGAAATGGGACAAGCATCAAAACACATTGATGCCCACATAGCAAAAATATAACAGGCACACATAGCTGGATGTATGTACATACCTCTGTAAACTCTCAGTGATATTTGCTAGGTAGTCCTCTGTCTGTTTGGTCAAAGTCTCCTTGCCTAATCGAAACAACATTAGCTGAGCTTGGAAGAATCCCAGCATGGGCTGCAGCAAGTTACTGGTGCGTTTGTATTGCAACAAGTTCAAAGAATTGTAGTAGTTGAGAGAATTCTGTGAAGCGACACAGAAACAATGTGATAACAGTTGCTCCATTTTATAGTGACACAGTAAGAAATTCTTTGAGGTTCATGACTTATGTGACGTCTTATTACAATTGACACATCTTTCAACTACATAGCAATGCCTGTGACCAACCACCACGTCTACCCAAAAACAAAATCACACACATTTTGATTTAGGGAAATGTCTGCTCCATGCAGAAACAAAAGATATCACGTTTGCACATAACGACGACGTCCTTTTGGCAGGGACACAGTGTGTGTCCACTGGGTGCCCTGTTGAAACAATCCCCACCAGACTTGTCTTTGCCAGTATGGTGGCACTTCCACAGAGCAGAATATGTCAAGTGGTTGCCTTAGTTACGGATTACTTTTAATAATGGATCATGAATACTCCTTCACTGATTTTAAGCTGGTAATTAAACTTAAATGTGTTACAAAGACACCCAAAAAGCCAAACCAAACCAAACTTATTAGATCATAAATAAAAAAAAAAATCTCAATGTGGTAAGCCTGTTCGATATTCATTTCTTTTCATATCACATTATCATGAAAAAATATCGCGATATCCAATATTATTATGATGACATCATTTTCCATTCATAAAATAAACATGACTGAAATCATCACCATGTCTCGAGAGCCACATATAAAAAAAAAAAAATTTCACGCCTTTGTATTATCTCTACATTTAGAACTCTTATATGCTTATGGAAAGCAAATTTCAACATGAAAATTGTGGACATTAAATTATCATATCATGGCACCGTACGGAAAAAGCCATTTCCCCGCACACATTAGCGGTAAAGTTCACTAAAGGCAACCCCGAAAATGGACAGAGCACATGGGTGTTTCTTGTGGAGCTACTGGTATTGATGCCCGCACCTCATTTCTTGTGTTTAAATCCATCTAAATGTCAAGCTCTTCAAATTTGTTTCAAGAGAAATCCACCCACGCCAGCATTAACTATTGATCATAACCCACTTGCGTTTGTGTCTTCAGCAAAGATCCTACGTGTCAAGATTCAAAATGACCTGAAGTGGGATCTCCAGGTTAGTGATATGATAAAGAACAAACAGACGTTTATACATGTTACGAACGCTCAAAAAATTGGGTTTTACAACAGATGAACTGACAGTTGTTTACAAAGGATATGTCAGACCCATGATTGAATACGTTGACGTTGTGTGGAATTCTTCACAAACCAAAGAACAACTTCATATTTTAGAAAAATTGCAAAAAAGAGCGTGTAAAATTATGCTTGGTAATAATTTTAAGTCATATCAGGATGCTTTAAAAATGTGTGGCATTGAAACCCTGGTTGACCGTTGGCAGGCATATTGTTGTAAATGTGCTGAGTCATCGTCTAAGTGTAAACAAACTGATAACCTGATTCCTCCTGTGAGGAAAACCATTCATGGCAGGGAGTTGCGTAACTCTCATTTTACATGTACTTCATTGCTACCCTGTACGACTAATTCAATTTAAGAATATCCCTATTCCATTTTACATTAATCTATTAAATTCATAGTTAGAGAATCTATACAGGCCTTCTTGTGGCTAACAAAATTCATGCGACAATAGAGAAATCATACATAGTCCACCCCGCTGAAGTAGGTTTGAGCTCCTCTATTTGTCTAGTGTTTATTTGTTTCAATTATTATAATTATGATCAGTGATTAATGTGTTTGTCCTTCCTATTTTTTGATGTGCTTTTAACGTATTTTACATGAATTTTAATTAGTCTGTATAGAGGTTTTAATAATTGTTAATCATGATTGGTGTTTTATGTGGTTGTACTTGTTATTTTTGGATGTTTTCATGTACTTTATATGAATTTTACAGATAACCTGTAAAATTCTTGTAATTCGGCTTACTAAGCCACGATAAGAATGAAATAAACTAAATGAAATGAAATGAAATTTCTAAGTTGTCATTTATTTCTCATAAGTCAGCATGTTTTGCTCGGTCCCTTTTCTACCATGTCTACAAGACCACAAAAAAGCCTTCGTGTAAGTCTGCAATAAAAATATCGTGCTTCGGTATCGGTTTCCTTCTCCACGGTTACTTAAAAGTGTCAAGCAACAATCCCCACACTGCCCAACTGATGCATGCATGTGGTTGAGTACATCAATACCAGGGACCCCTCTCAGGCTACACGCATGCGTTCTGACCATTTTGAGGGTCGCCTTATTGAACCAACTTAACCTGTAGGCCGTTTTCCAATATTCGACTTTGTCTCCATTCAGGCTTCAACTGTTTTTTTACTATCTGACTTTGAAGTTGTAAGTGCATAGCAAGTTTGATAATGGCACAAAACATCAAGTAAAATGCAAAAGAGCCAAACATTACAGTTCTTCAATTTGATTGAAACACTTCAGGCCCACGATCTGGAATTGGTTTTTGAGACAAAGCCTGAGACGGAGACAAAGTTGAGCATTGGAAAACGGCCCTGTGCGTGTGCGGCGAGCGGTGTGACGATCTTGAGTACCGAGTGAGAAAACCGATTTAGCTGGAGTTTACTGTACAATACATTACACATGCGTACAGTCTGTTGGTTTGGTTCTACCCTCTAATACTTTTAAGACCCTTGCAGTTGCTTGGGGTCAACAATGACTTTGTGGTTTGAGGTTTTCAGTGGAGTATTTGTGTGGCCTGAATGCAGTAATGCAGGCAGGGCTCAACACGTGGTGCATTGACTGCCCTATGTGCATGTACAGTACATCGTTTGGAGCTTATCGCAATAATTTTTGGCATATCGATTTGCATGATATCCCGATATGTGTTCTTACGAACGATCTGATATCTGATATCAACATCATATCGAAATATCGTGAAATATCATCATATTGAACAGGCTTACAATGTGGTGAGTAACATGGCACGTTTACCTGTAAAAGCTTCTTTCTGCACGAATATAACTCATCATTTGCATCTATTCTTGCTTTGGTTTCATTCTCTTTCTTCTTTGAAACTCGGCAGTACTTTACTATTGCATTTTCGTGTTCTGTGGTGAATAAAGAAATCATTCATTTAGACTTAAACCATGTAGAGATTGCCATCATGGTAAATTGCCCTTGAATATGTCAAAATTTCACAAAACAGAAATTGCCCACTATGAAATTAGTAAGATTGATGAGGGTAAGAATGACACATTCCTACACGAATATGACTTGGGTAACTCTGAATGAAATACATGTACCTTGTTCTAACATCCGGTTGAGTTCTTTCATATTTGTGATTTCTGTCAGGTCACTATTGGTGAATGAGGACAGTGGTTGAACCATCAAGTCATTCAGTTGAGTGGAATGAGCAGTGTGAACAGAGCTAACCTTCAAAAACAAAGAAAAACAGGGTAAAAAAAGCAAGAAAAAAGTGGCAGGGTTCCAGCTGCTGGGTTCTAGCCTGAACTGGTAAAGAAAAAACAAGAATGGTGGGTTAACAAACAAAATGCCCTGTCAAGCTAATGCTAAATCCAGGACTTTGTGATCACAAAAACACTTTTCATTGGTATTTTTCAACCATATCCAATGCTTTACTTATTAAATGACCCCGAGCTTTGACTAGTGGGGTCCAAAACTGATAGGCTTCCGACTGACACTTAGACCAACGTACATGTATATGTCTAGCCTTTCTAGAGTGGGAAAACCATTTCTATTGTTTAAACATAATGACTTTAACTAAGGGATCCAAATTCATGTACAGCTTCTGTACAACACAAAGACAAACCCACATAACAAGTTTGAAGTTAATATGTCAAGTCCTAAAGTTATGCTGGGAAAACACATACATATATATATACAGGTACATTAACCCTAACCCTCCTCAATCCTTCACCTGTTGGAAGACTAAGGAGTGTTAGGGCTAAAATGTAAAATGTACTGTATCACTCATAGCTGGAGTTCTGGAGCACTTTTGTCCCCGCTGATAACACTCGGGCGCTGAATGCCACAAACAGTGGTATACTGTTGCAAAACACTGACGGATTACCTCTGCTAATGCCAGCTGAAAAATGATGGCAATTCCCAGCAGCTCGGTCTTTTGTTCTGAGCATGGTCTTTTCTTACAAGGCCAAGCTCCTTTGTCCAATTTCGGGCACCCTGGCTATACGTACAAACCCAATGTACCAGGTACTGGGAACCCCGGAGGCAAGTGGTTAACACAGTAAGACCTATACCACACACACTCAACAACATCCACATTACATACCTAGTGTGGACATTCCTTTGTTTAAGAGTTCAGAGTTAAGAAAACTCAAAGAAAATACTCATATTTCTTGAACTGAGAACACGATTTTCAGCTGCATTTTGTAAAATGTTTCCTTGACTGTTCCTCTTTCTTATAAGACAAATTCCTAATCCCCAAATGCCTCTAAATTCTCCTTTCAGTGAAGGGGAAATATCCTGTGGACACGGATACGTCCACAGAAGTACTTCCCTTCCAACATCGTGTCGACATCTTTTGTTCACAAGTCCACACTGGGTACACATGTATGAAGCATTTCCACAGCATATCCAGAACTTAACTTCCTACATACATATACATGTAACTGATTCTCACCTCTTCCATTGTCCTTGAAAACTGCTTGAGAGTTGAGGCCAAAATACTGTCATCTCTGCCCAATGGAAAGTGCTGGAAACATGTAAGGTACACCAACAAATTGTTACAAGAACATGCACTACAACCGAAGGAAATTCTGCATCAACTTAGTCACTATATTTGTTTAATTGTGACCTGCCATGGCATATTGAGGACAAATCCCCATTTATGACTTTTTGAGATGTGGGTAATTCCACAAATTGGGGATCCCAAAGTGTGATATTTTCGTGTCTGTGTTACATCTGACCTTTATGGAAGTGGCACAGGAATTGATTTCAAACTATTACTATTTGTTTGGCAGGTAATTTACATTAATTTGTCATGCTTGGAAATACATGTATGTTCTGAACTTTACAAAACTTACACTTACAGCATATGCCAGATGTGACAGGGATGGGATCGCCTATATCCCTACGCCAACAACCCTTGACCTCACCCATGGGATCTTCTATATCCCTACG